GGCGGCGGCGGCGGGCGGGCGGGGACAGCGCTCCACGCCAGTCACCGCTGAAATGTGATGGACCGGGCAGGGGGCGGCTCAGACTCGCGCCGAGCCTCGCCGGGGTCGAAGGCGGGAGGCTGCGGGCGGAAGGCGGCGGTCTATGCCGGGGCCCCGGGACCGCCGCGGCCAGAGCTCCCAGCCGCCGCCCAGCCCTCCGCAACATGCCGGTCCCCGCCGGGCCCTGGCCCCGCTGAGCGCCCCCGCTGTGGATCTAATGTCTCCGTGAAGGTCCCGCGGCCGCCGCCACAGCTTTGCCCCCGGAGGAGCAGCAGGCTGCGGTAGGTGAGTGGCTCCGGGGCCCGCCCTGCCCGCTGCCGTCGGCGGGAGCGTGGCGGCCGCCCCGGGAGCGCAGTGTGCGCTCAGCCGGGAGCGCAGGGCCGCCGGGTTTACTTTCAGTTCGCAGCTCTGGGGCGGCTTGGGGTGCGGGTGTCCCCCCCTCCACGCCGCGGGCGCGTTGGTGCGAGGTTAGGCGACGGCAACCTCCCGGGGTGCGCTCTCGATGTCCTTCACGAGAAACTCCTGGCAGGGAGCAGCCGGTCCGTGCATGGACTGCGAGCTAAGCCGCGGGTCGCACTGGAGAAACCTCGGGGGGGGAAACATCTGGCTGCGCGGGCAGAGGCGGCCGCGGCTTCGGGTGAGGCCGTGTGGAGCGGAGGCGAGCCGGTGCCCGCGCGCTCCCTGGGTAGGAAGGCACGGTCCCGGTCCCGCCGCGGCTGAACGGGGAGCGCGGGCAGGAGCAGCAGGTCGGCGGCAAGCAGGTAGAGAGGGCTGTCCTGGCACGGGGCTTAATTTAATTAAGCTCTCTGAATGGAAAGGGAAAAGGAAGTGCCAAGGTTTAAGTAACATCCGTTTTTGGTTGACTTTCAACCCCTCCGCCCAAACACACCTTAATATAAATGGCCTTAAAATCACGTTCGAAGGCGCTTTCTATTCTTTTTTGATACGTTTTACTAAAGTTATCTCCAAATACAAATAGTAGCAAATGTACCACCATTCAGACAGAAGTGTAGTTTTAGAAGTTTCTACCTTAAAATGAGGATTTCATGTTCAGAATAGTTTTTTCAGAGTTGGTTCTTGGACACCAAAACGAGCGTGGTGCAATGACACCCCCATACACAGCCACCAAACGCGGCTGTAACAGAGGGAGCTCTGCCCTACAGAAACATTGCTCCTAGCTCGGTCATAGCTCCCAGCCGGTGGCTCCGAAACCCAGCCTCAAAGAACCGGGATGGAGGCAGGAGCCGCCGGAGGAGCCAGCGAAAAGTGATTTAATTGCTTCTGTTTCGGTTCCTCGCGGAAAGCGAATAGGAACTCACACTACGACATCTTTAAAAATAAGTCTCTATATATAACCACCCCCCCACAATAAAACGAAAAGATCGCCATATATAATAGTATCGATAACTGTCCCCGGTGTCGATACAATCACAAACAAGGAAAATTGGGCAGCAGCGGAGGAAGCTCCGGAAAGCCACGACTCGAGGCAAACGAAAACAGGAGTAGGCAGCACTGCACTTCACACTCGACCTCCTTGCCACCTTTTTTTTCCCCAGTCGGCCAATTGTGCGGTGCCACAAACGTGGAGGAAAGGTATTTTAGGAAAAAAAATCGAAAAGTATCTTTCCAGCCAGAGCGCGCTCGGTGCCAGCGGAACGGCAGGAGCCGGGCGGCAGCGGCCCGGGAGGCAGGGACACCGCTCATGGTGCGCGGGCTCTGCACTCGGAGAGTTTCCTTAATTTTTGCTGTTATTTGCCTCCAAAGGGGTGGGTTTAAGATTTTTGCGGGGGGAGGTTCTCTTGTTTATTTTGGAAACTGCGCGTTACCAAACCCTCCACACAAATCCCTTGAGGTGCTGGGTCACCCTCGGCCCTACCTCTTGTTTACAGGCCCAGAGAGACCCCGGCGTTTGCTTTGGCCGCTTTCTTGGGTCGCGGCAGCCTCTTGGCTGCTGGAAGTGAACCCTCAACGAAAGCAAAAAAAAAAAAAAAAAAAGGAAACGGCAGGGGCTTGCCGATGTCCCTCTGTCCCGCGGCGGGGGGAGCGTCGCCCGAGCCCGCCGAGGGGACCCCCTTGCGACGGGAGCAGCGGGTCCGGCGGTTTCGGTTGAATGGGCTGAGCGAAACCCTCTGACAGTCACACACCGCTCATTAGCCCACGGCCCCGCCGCTCCGCCGAACCTCCGGCCGAGGGACGCCCGAGGGGGTGCGGGGGCTCGGCCGCACGGCTCCGTCCCGCCCGGGCTGCGGTCGCCCTTCTCGGCCCTGCGGCGCGGAGGGAGCCGACTGCGGGGCAGCGCCGTGCCGGGCGGCCCTCGGCGGGCCGGGGAGGCCTCCGGGCCGGCCGCTCCTCTCGCCGCCGCTGGGATGGCTGCTGCGCGGGGGGCTGGGTAGGAGGTGTGCGTGCGGGGTAGGGGCTCCTTTTCTCTCCTTCGGTTATCTTGATAAATGAGTTGTTGTTGAAGGAAGAAAAATAAGCAACGGAGCTAGGACGAACGCGGGGTTTATTCCCCCCCGCTCCGCCCCCCGGGCCTGACTCGGCTCTCCGTGAACACCCTGCTCTATCCCGGGGAGGCCCCAGCCAGGAGGGGTCGGGGTCGGGGCCTCTGCGCCCGCAGGAGGCCGGGCGGAGGGTGGGAGCGACGCCGGGGGCCAGGTCGGCGCGGGGGGCAGGAGGGAGGCGGCTCCGGGGTCCCCGCGGTGGGCGCTGCGGGGGAAGGTGGCTGGGCGACGGAAAGCGGAGAGGCTTCGTCCCCGGCCGCGTCTCCGTTCCGTCTGTATTTTTACACGATTCGTTTAATTTGAATTTGCGGCGCCTTCGGTTGGGTCGGTGCTGGGTATTCTCCTTTTTGTTTTAATTTGGGGTGGTTGTTTTGGGAGGGCTATTTTTATTTATTTATTTCCTACGCTTTATTAGCTTCTCCGGTCGAAGCGATCGCGGCGTGGGTCGGTGTCGGTCCCGGCGGAGGACGGGAGCCTGCGCTGCGGCGGGGTACTGGGGCCGCGGAAAGGCAGCGCACCGGGGCCGTGCCTGGCCCTCCCTGGCTCCGCTGCTGCGCTCGCCTCGGCTAAGCAATACCACGCTGCTCTCAGTAAAAGTCTCCCTCTCCTCCTTTCTCCCTCTTTCTTCCTAGGATTTTCTACCGGTCTCGGAAGCCCATCAGAGGCACCAGCTGCTCCGCCGGCTCGCGCCCACCTCGGGAAGATGGGAAGCAAGGCTCTGCCAGCCCCCATCCCGCTGCACCCGTCCCTGCAACTCACTAACTACTCCTTCCTTCAGGCTGTGAACACCTTCCCCGCAGCTGTGGACCAGTTGCAAGGTCTGTACGGACTCAGCGCCGTGCAAACCATGCACATGAACCATTGGACATTGGGCTACCCCAGTGTGCATGAAATCACCCGCTCTACCATCACGGAGATGGCGGCGCAGGGCTTGGTGGACACCCGCTTCCCTTTCCCTGCGCTCCCCTTTGCCACGCACCTCTTCCACCCCAAGCAAGGGGCCATCGCCCACGTCCTCCCAGCATTGCACAAGGACAGGCCCCGCTTTGACTTTGCCAACCTGGCCGTGGCCGCCACGCAGGAGGACCCCCCCAAGGTGGGGGAGCTCGCCAAGCTGAGTCCCGGACTGGCCTCGCCCCTATCGGGCATCAATAAGCTGTCCCCGGACAGGAAGCCTTCCCGCGGCCGCCTGCCCTCCAAGACGAAAAAGGAGTTCATTTGCAAGTTCTGCGGCAGGCACTTCACCAAGTCCTATAACCTCCTCATTCACGAGCGAACCCACACGGACGAGCGGCCTTACACCTGCGACATCTGCCACAAGGCTTTCCGGAGGCAGGACCACCTGCGGGACCACCGGTGAGGGACCACCACGACCGGGGTCGGGCCGTGGGCAGCCGGGGTGGGGTGAGTCGCTCGAGGGGGATGACACGCAGCGGCTCCAGGAGCCACGGAAACAACACAGGAAAATGCCCCCGGCTCAGATTCGGAGGCCACGGAGGGACCAGAGCAGCCGAAACCTGCGCTTTGTGTGGGAAGGGCACCCACCTGAGGGAGAGCTAGAGGGGTTCACAGCCGGAGATGAAGATCCCGGGGCTTTTGTGCTTCATGACCCTGGGGGGTGCAGGGAACAGGACGGGTCGCAGGTGGGCGCTTCCCTGCTGATCCCCCACCCACCTCCGCACGCTGCGGCCGGTGCTGAGAGGCGCCCGCGGCCGCAGAGCTGAGAATCCTCTCCACCTTCGGAGAAGAGCGGGCTCGGGTCCGGCCTGCAGCGCAGATGCCGTCCTGGTCTGGCACCAGAGAGTGCAGTCACGCTTCGATACGAATTATTGCAAATGTTTTGAACCGGCCAAGAAGTTTAACCATACACAGAATAGTAATGGGGAAAGGAAGGAAGAGGAGGGTGAGGGAGTCTGGGAGAGGGGGTCGAGGTTGGGGAAGTGGGGTCTGGGGTCGCGGGGCCCACGCGCCTCCGGCAGTGCTGCTCACCCCACGGGTTGCCTTTCAGGTACATCCATTCCAAAGAGAAACCCTTCAAGTGCCAGGAGTGCGGGAAGGGCTTCTGCCAGTCCAGGACCCTGGCGGTCCACAAAACCCTACACATGCAGGTGAGCCCGCCTTTCCCAGGCCTCTCAATGCGTGTGCCGCCGCTTCGGCTCGGCTCGGCTCGGCTCGGCTCGGCTCGGCTCGGCTCGGCCCGCCGCGGGACAGGGGCGGTGGCCACAGGGGGAACAGGGCTCTGGTGCGGAGGGGAGCGAGGGGGTCCGGCACTGGACGGCCCCGTGGGTTCGGGGGGAACAGCGGCCCGTGATTACCTCCGCGGCCGCGGGAGACCCGCAGATAAACGGCGCCCTTGGGAGACGGGCTTAAAGACAGCGGGGACGCGTTTGGCGGCGGGGAGTGAGCCCCGGGTTCGGGTTTGTCCACGCCGCTGCTCCGAGGCGTTTTTCGTTGAGGGCTGCAGCCCTGCCCTGGCGGCGGCGGCAGGCGCGGGGCAGCGGGGCGGCCCGGCCGCGGGATGCGGAGCGGTGCGGAGCGACCGCCGTGGCGGCCGGGAGGGCAGCGGGAGTTCCGGAGCGGGAGGGTGGCGCGGAGGCTGCTTTCCGTGTGTCCCAGGGGTGCGGAACATCACTACTCGAGAACTATAAAATAAGGCTTTTGGGGCAGGATAGGGAGAGGTGGGCGGCCGCCCGGCCGCACGGGGCTCCTCTCGTTCGTGTCCTCCCCCGATATCTCAAGTTGTGCGTTGCGGTGAGAAAAAGTGCAGTAATACGTTAAACAAGGTGGTTTGTGAAGGATTAATCCTTTGCTTGCTTCAAATCTGAACAGGAATCTCCACACAAATGCCCCACATGTGGAAGAACCTTTAATCAAAGAAGTAACCTGAAAACTCACCTTCTTACCCATACAGACATCAAGCCCTACAACTGTGAGCAGTGCGGCAAAGTGTTCAGGCGAAACTGTGATCTACGGCGGCACAGTCTAACTCACACCCCGCGGCAGGACTTCTAGAGCAGCCAGGGACCCGCGCCCGCTCCGGCAGCTCCAACTTGCCCACTTTACTCAAGGAGCGTATTGTAGGAACTCACAGATGCGCGCACACACACACACACACACGGAGACACGCACGCAGACTCGGGGCCAAGCTTTCCTACCACATGTCTGCGAAACTCGTTTAGAGAGTGCGGACTGCAGGATCGGGCCCCTCTCCAACCCACACCCAAGCGTAAAGCTCATCTTGTAGATATAATCGCGGCTCATTTTAGAGCTCTGTACAGAACGTGTTTTTTTCTTTGTTTGTTTGTTTTGTATCGTGTCAGATGCACATCGATAACAAATCATGGAGGCAAAGTATCTCTTTAAAAAGTTATTTCAAAATAAATCTTTTTTTTTTTTTTTTTTTCCAAATACCTCCCGCCTTCTTGTATTATTCTCTGAACATTTGGGCTTTTTTTTTCCTGCTGTGTCAATGCAATGGCAAAGCATATTGAATAAATTTCCTAGCCGGGTAATTGTACTGTCACAACAATTTTGGTGATCGCTTTTGTTTGGTCTGTTCCACTGTCGCTGTTGTGTTATCTATTGTTAAGTAAAATGAAAGTGCCTTATTTGAGAGTTTATAGCTCTATTACTTAATAGTATGATGTCTAAATATTAACTTCTGTACCTTTTTTTTTTTTTTTCTAATTTTCCCGAACGATTTTTTTTTTTTAAAGAAGAAAAACAAAGAAATATTTGCAAATAAACAGATCTTAGGAAATAATGCATAGAGCCGTTCTTACGCCAAAGCGGCTTATTAGTAACTTATTTGCAATCAGGCCGTATATTGTAAAAGTTATCCCTCTCGCAGGGATTGCAGCAGGCAGCCTCCTGCCCGTAGACTTTGGACAAGGGCAATTCACCCGCCTAGACAGGGACTTTATCCTGCAGAAGACGATTCTTTCCCGGCAGCTCTGGAAGCAAACAGCGAGGCGCCAATTCCGCCCGCCCTCCGCCCCGGGCTCATCCGCGGGCCCTGGCGGAGCTGCGGCACTGGGAGCAGGGGTCCCCTCACCCCGTCCCCCTCCTCCATCTGCAATGCCGAGCACAAGTCACGCCCGGGAGAGACGGAGAGGGATTGTTCCCCCCGTCTCGGGAGACCCTTTCCCCACCGTGGGGGCCCCCAGGCGCTCCCCGCGGGGGTGGCTTTCGGCGGCTCAGCGTGTCCACCCCACGGCCGCACGCTCAGTGCCTGCCCCGGCTCTGCAGCCGGCAGGGTGACGGCACTGCATAACGGGCTCTCCCCCCTTGCCATCCTTGCAACTCCCTCACCGGTGCCTGTGGACTCTTCTGGAAGGGTGTGGTGCCAACAGTGAGGCATTTTCCCTGATATATTGCAGGGCGACTTGGATGTGCATCCCCTCATTACCTTCCCACTGCTCTTGTCACTCCTGGCACTCTCTCCACAGCGTCTTGAGTAGTTTGGGGCCCCAAAAATTGCTCTTTCTCAGTCTGGGGGCAACCATCCTTCCCTACTCCTCTGCCAAGTGAAGGATCAGGTGAGAATGGCAGGCAGAGATCTTTTCCCCAGGCCCAGGGAGGCCTGTCCAAGGAGAAGGCAATCCCCTTGCACCCAGTTCCGCAGAGAAGGCTTCACTCCTGGGCTCCATCTAGCACGGCACCAGAACTCCAGGCTGGTCCATCCATGGGAGGGATCGCAGATCCTAGCATGCCTGGCAGAGCTTGTGTGGCTACACTGTCACCATCCCTGATCCACGCTGGTCCTTCCGCAGGGAACACTGCCTGGACACTGTTAATGAGTAGCAAATCAAACCCAGCAGTGCCTGGGCTGCAGTCAGATCATCGGTGCAGAAAGCTCTGCATTACTGCCAGCACTGCCTCCACAGAAGGCTACCACGGGGCAGGGACTACGAGAGAGCCCTGCTCTGCCCCAGACCAGGCAGCCAGGTGAACTTCCATCGGTACAGCAGATTTGACAGCGCCAAACTCAAAATATTTTATGTGGTCAAGGCCTATGTCTTCATCTGCTCCTGTCCAGGAAGATGGGGAAGGAAAGAATGTTTCTGCAGCCAGAAGTACTGGTCTGCTGGCTGAAGAGCAGCCTCCCTTGTCAAAGTTTATGTTAGTGCCATCTGGTCTCTTCCCCTTAATCGCCTGTGAACTTGCACTCCTTCTTTGCTGGGGTGCTGCACCCCTAGAAATAGCTTTTCTCACATCCTGCCCTGCCATGTTGGCAGCCCTTGCTCTCCCTCTTCAAAATGCTTCTCTCTCTACACTGCTCCTCTCCAAACCTCTCTTCATGGGCATCTTCTGCTCCCTCTTCATGGGCATTTTCCCAATATCTGATGTCTTCCTGTCTGATTCTTCTACTCTCAGTGCATTCCTGTTCTCTCAGTAGGTTATTTCCTCTAAGTTTCTCTCTCCTTATTGTTCTCGTAGTTCCTGTCCCCAGGCCGTTTTACGTCCCCAAGTACGCACAGCAAGGCTGGGATAACTCCGTTTGAGTAAACACTCCTGTCAGGATACACATGGGCTCAGTCTGCTCCTCATAGGCCAAGCTCTGTGAGAAGTTTGTTTGGAAAGAACTTAATCAGATGAACAATATCAAAGGACAAAATTTAAGTGATTGTATATAGCTAAGGTTTTATTTAATTGTTTGAGGTTGCTTGTTTAATAATCTTCCCCCTGAGCAGACACAGACTGTAAATTTATCTTCTGAGGATTTCTAAAGTTCAGCAGCCAGAAAAAAAACCTCCAAATTACTGAAGCAGGTCAGTGATGAGCATCTCTAACTGTTGGTCCATGAACTGTTATTTTATATTTAAACCAGTAGCTATCATCTTAAAATGTCAAGAGAATGATCTAGTGTTTCTCTTTATTATCAATTCACTTGCCTATAGCACTGCCACACCCCATTCACTTTTTAAAAATTCATCCCTCCCTGGAAAATTTCATAGGCAGCTATAAAGATACACATATGGTTTGTTGGTTTTAGACCTGTTGGGAACAGAAACAAGCTCTGTAAAGCTACTTTTTGGGCAGGGCTAGGGTTTTTATAGCCATAAAGTTCTATCCTGACTTTCACAATGCAAACACTAAATACAGCAATATCCCTGTGACTGCCGTTTGTGCCTTTGTGAAGTATCCTTCTTCCCTCTGGAAGTTCTCTGCTCAGTCACAGAACACAGCGCAGAGCTCCATGCTTCTGCAGTTTCCCAGAGCTTCCCAAACCACCTGCCTCCTGCTGCTCTGTGTTACTCTTTCCCACTGCCCCTTCTTTTTTGGCACTGCTTATTTTGCCTGCACTGGCATGGGCTGATTCTGCATCTTTTGCTGTGTTAGAGGCAGCAGCTGCAGTGCTGTAGCAGGAAAAAGAACTAGCTGTACTACCAGGGAGAAAAGAACAACAGATAATAAGAATGTCACAATAATCTACATTTTTGGGGCAAATTACAGCCCTTTAAGTTGCATCTGAAAACCGAGCTCTTTGCATATCAGTTGCCAAAACAGACACTGTCCACAGCTGATGGCAGAGCAGCTCAGCCCAGCTAATTGTGCATAAAGCTTTTCTATGTGGTAAATATTACTTAGCAATGGCATGTCATGCTATTCCAGCCAGCACAGACTTTATCTGATGCAGTGCAAATTTTCTGGCAAAGCCCAGCTTTATACCAGTACCACCTTAGCCCAGATCTAAGCGTCAGACACTCAGCAGCAGCCCAGGAATGTGGCATGGCCATATCTGCCTGGATCTAGGGGCTGGTGCCCAGGGTCCCTTAGAGTAAAACATGTGAAAAACCATTATTCAACTCCTCTCTGCCTTCTCTCCCTTTCCTTTTTCTTCTTCCTTCTTCCTTCTCATTGCTCTGATTTTGGATGTTTGCTTCAGGAGCTGCTTCTCTTACTCCAGACGTCACGTACTACACCCTGCCACCTGCCTAGTCTCACCTCCACCTCTTTCCCTGCTCTTTCCCTCCTTCTTTTTTGCTTTCCCATGTCTCATCCCACATTTCAATCTCTTTTCCAGAGCATCTTCCTACATTTAGACTTTTTGGTTCCCTCTGTTGAACCACTCCAATTTCTACTTGTTGCCTCATTCTATCCTTCAGCCACCAGCCCATATGAGCTGATGGCTGAAGGACATCTTCCCTCACCCAGAGCTCATGTCCCTTGTGTGGTACTTCTCCCACACTGCTGGTCCTTCCTTGCTGATCCCATTAATTGATGCAATGTCCACATGACCCTCAGAAAACATCAGAACAGGTGCCATAGATGTGCTTGGATCATTTTAAGCATGGTGTCTCTGACTCAAAGCCAGCAGCAGTCCCAGGAGGACCAGGGCTGGTGGCACACGCAGCTGGTGGCTGCTCAGGGTGGAAGCACCGTTGTCAGCAGCACTGCAACCCCCAAGCTACATGGCCCTCATGAAGATCAAGAGGAGCCAGTGGTTTCAGGTGCAGTGTTCTGGCCCCAGAATGTCAGGACTGAGTTTGCAGTTAGTCAGCTAAGCTGCACTGGCGGCTCAGAACCTCTAATCACTCCATGCTCCTAATACTGTAACTGCAGATAGTCTTCTACACATAAAGTGTAGAAGAGTGACTGGATTTACCAAACTGTATTGCACAAGGGTTTAGACGTATGTTCCTTTATTTTAAAATTGTACTGTGTTTATAGCTTGTATTTCTCTCCTCATGGCACATTTCTTCCTTCCTACTTATGTAAACTTATAACAGTGCAGTTATGACAAAAATAGGGTAGCTACCAACCAAAACATTATTTTTATTGAAATTATTAAAAATGCTTATTTACATTCAAAAGGAAGGCATCATGTCTGTATAAACCATGGATTTTAATATCTGTTTTCAAAAATCCAGGTGCAGATGTTTATGAAACTTTTTACTAGAAGCTCCTAGTTTATTAAATGAGATGCAAAATATCTACACTGAAAACAGTAAGCATCTTTCCTAGATCTGCACAATCAAGGCAATGGAAGTGTAAGTTGCCTCCCATTCTTAGAGCCCCTCTTGGAAGGCTGAACACCCTCTCCCAGGTGCAACTTTCAAACACTACTTGGGACTTCATGACGAGTGGAGCAGGACCCAAAAGCATTGGGTGGGACACAAAAGCAGTGGCCTTGCACCTTCATCCCTACACAGTCAAGCTGGAGTGGTGCATGGTCACCTTTCCCTGAGAAAATTTCCTCTGTGGGCACTAGGGCAGAACTTTCCAGTACAGATTGACTGAAAAAGCTTAATCTGAAGTTTACAGATACAGAAAATACCCATACCCAAATACAGCTCCATCTGAAGTGAGTGGTGTATGCAGCAGGGCCCTTGGCCTGGCTGTATCATTGGGGACACTGGCTGTGCCCCCAGCCCACCGGCAGGCAGGGGGACAGGCAGGCAAGGGGACAGACAGCAGGGGACAGGCAGCAGGGGGACAGCAGGCAGGGGGACAGGGAGGCAGGGGGACAGGCAGCAGGGGACAGGTAGGCAGGGGACAGGCAGCAGGGGACAGCAGGTAGGGGAGCAGGCAGCAGGGGACAGCAGGCAGGGGACAGCAGGCAGGGGGACAGGCAGGCAGGGGAGAGGCAGGCAGGTGGACAGGCAGGCAGGGGGACAGGCAGCAGGGGACAGGTAGCAGGGGGACATGGCTCCAGTGGAGACCCCGCATGCTGTGCTGGGAGATGCAGCGGC